CGTGCTACGCGCTGGTCTCCTCGGACCACTCCAACTCCGTTTTCTGTTGGAAACTTCACTACAAGATGATAGGCAGAGGGAATAGCCCTTATAGAATTGAGCGAGGGTCTTCCAAGGAGCATATTGTATGCTGAAGGTGCATCAATCACTAAAAATTTCACAGTTATTATAGTCTGGCAGGGTGGGTCACCTAAGGTCAAGATGAGTTGGATTGACCCCAGGGGCAGCACCTTTTCTCCTGAGAATCCCAATAGGTGGGCACTTACTAGTTCAAGCTTTTCCCTTCCTATATCCATTTTATCAAAAACAAAAGTAAAAATGATGTTTGTCGAGCTGCCATTGTCAATCAAAACACGATGGACAGTCATGTTGGCCACCATAGCTCTTACCACCAAAGGGTCATCATGGGGATGTTGGCAGCCCTCCAGATCTGAATCTAAGAAAGTGATAGTCGTGTTTAAGCGTGGAGACTTAGACACAGTATATACTTCGGGAGCTTCTGTGGCTCTGATTTTTCACAAGTGGGCCTTTCTGGCAGAACTGGACCCTCCTCCTTCGATAAATCCTCCAGATATCACTCTAATCTCCCCCATAGGTTGTTGGTGTGGCTCTGGTGCTTGACGCTGAGGGGGTGGAGGTGGGAGAGCTCAGTTTTGATTATCATTGGCCATATAGCGCCGCAGCTGCCCTCGCTGGATTAGAAATTCTATTTCCTTCTTCAATTGGATACAGTCATTTGTGTGATGATCATGGTCTCTATGAAAGTCACAATACTTCGTAAGATCCCTTTTTGTCGGGTCTTCTTTCATCCGGGGTGACCACCTTAAGAACTTCTCATGTTACACCTCATACAGTATCTGAGACACCGTAGCAGTCAGAGGAGTGAGCTGCCGGGGTGCATACCTCGGTTGTAGCTCTGGTTGTGGAGGGCTGAGGCGATCCCTGACATTTTCTCTTCTCTTTGTGGAACGCTCTCTGTCTCTTCTTGGAGACCTGCCTCATTCTCTTTCCTTTCTGGGACTTCGTTCTCTCTTCTTTTCTTCATTCCCTTTCTCTTTTCTTAACGAAGAGCTCCCGACCTTGGAGAGGAGCGCTTCCTCACCATTTATGTACTTTTCTACTTTGGCAAGCACCTCCGCCATACTAGCCTAGGGGTTCTTTGAGATGGAAAATATCAGATCTTTTGACTGAACTCCCAGACCTGCTATGAAGGCTGTAATAACAAATTTTTCGTCTAGGACATCCACCTTCAAGGATTCTGAGTTGAACCGTTGGACATAAGACCGTAAGTTCTCATCATGTCCCTGTTTCACATTTAACAAATGGTAGCTCAATTTCCTATAGGTCCGAGCTCCAATGAAGTGGGACACAAACAAGATTGACAGCTCTTTAAAATAGGAGATCGAGGCTGGGGGGAGTCTGTTGAACCATGCTAAGGCTAAGCCCTTTAGGGTGATAGCAAAGGCCCTGCATCTCACTGGATCTTGATATCCATGCAACTCCATTTGATTTTTGTAAGTGTTGAGGTGGTCCACGAGATTCTTTGTCCCATCGAAAGTATCTACCTGCGGCATTCTGAATTTATGTAGGAGAGGGAAGTGCAGGCCCCCAACAGTGAATGATGATTCGGTTTGCTGCACCAAGGCATCCATAGTGACTGGGGCCTTGCTCTTGTTGGATGTCTTTAAAACGTTGCTCCCAGTGATATTTTTTTCTCTCCTATTAATAAGGGAAGAAGTCGCTCCTCTCCCCTTCCTTACATTGACTTTGCACTTCCTCGTTGTGACCATTCCTAGGGGGTAGGCGAGGTTCTTGCCCCAAGGTCTGACTATTCTCTCCCACCTCATTAACTTCTCTGAGGGGGTCAAGATGTGGTTGCTCCCTTGGTGGTGGATTATTCTGGCCTCCTTGGGCCGGTCGCGCCTCCTGTGGGCGTTGTAGGAGTTTTAAGAGCTTTTCGTTCTGTTTTATCAGACGTTTATTGACAAAACGAAGGGCCTCCATCTCATTATTCATGGGAAGGCTCCCCATGGGGGGATCTGCTTCTTGTGCATGTTTAGGTTGTCTGCTATTTGCGGCTTCCTATTGATCTTGCTTCCGTAGAGGATTGGTCAGACTTTGGCTCATGTTTCGCGTTGATACCATCAGTCACTGGAAAATTAGCTTTATTTGTAACAGGAACAGTCGTTCCCACAGACGGCGCCAAACTGATGGTGTAAACCGAATTGTATGAGTAATGAATCGTAATTATGCTTTGCAGTGATGGTGGTGTGATAATGAAAGAAATATTTTTCTAGGGGCTGGGAGGATTAACATAGAAGAAGTATAGTGGTTCACCAGCTCGGGAGCTCGGCTAATCTACTCTCTAATGGAGACTCTTGCTCCTTACCTTTCAATAATGATGATTACAATAATACAATGGCTAGTTTTTGCCTCTAGGGTTCTCCCCTTTTCCTTGAGGGCGTTACATAGTATTTATTGGGTTGTTCCTTATTCAGTGGGATCTTGGCCGAGATTCTTGTCCTTATTTCATGGGATTCTCCTTAATTCTATGAGAAGATCTTGGTTGGTTGAGATTAGGTGCCTTGATTATAGCTTCCTAACGCTTTAGGAACCTCTCGTGGTTATCCAGTCGTTGCCTTGCCTCAAGAGATATTCAGCCCTTGCCTTCTGACCTCAGTTAATATGGCTGACCTCTCGGTCTGAGCTGAACTCCTGAGCTAACACTTGAGATTTACTTTAGGCATCATCAACCTTCATAAGGAAAAAAATCATAGTATATGATAAATCAAAATGTTAAAAATAGCATATTAGATAATACTTAGTGTTAGAATATTTTAACTAAAAGAGTGTTTTTTATGTGTGAGAACTCAATCTCACATCGACTAAATATTTAAAAGTACTTGAATATATATATATATATATAAATATATTGGTGTTATCTAGCCTTTGAATTAAAGAGAGATTTTGAAACTCTCATGTGCGCAAGGGTGGCACTATTAAATCCACTTTTTAATATTTTGCTTCATTATTTTCTGTCATTACTTCTATATTAAAATTTCAGTTGCTGAATACCAAAAAGCATGCCTAGTCCATGACTCGGGTAGTGGATCCCCCTGGCTCGCCTAAATGAAATAAAATATTAACTAGTATTAAACCCACTTTTTAATATTTTGTTTAATTATTTTATGTCATTACTTCTATATTAAAATTTCAATCGCTGAATACCCAAAAAGTCCAACAGCTAGTATTCCAATAGCCATATTTTTTTTTTGGAGTTATTATCCAATTAAATATAGAAGTAATTACACCCTATTAAACAAATATATTATTTGTGTATATATATATATATATATATATATATATATATATATATACACACATATTTTTAGTATAGAGATAGACATCTAAAATCAACTATCTTCTTATTATATAAGTTTTTGAGCAATATTCAAAGGTGTGTGTAAAGCTTCTTCTTCATTCGATTGTGCAGATCTGAGTGAAGTAACAGTCAATAGGCTGGGCCGTTGTATTCTAGGGACGACGTATTACTATCTTCTGCGTTGTGATTCTTTCATAAAGGGGCGCGAATTGTCTTAAGAGAGCGACCTAGTCCGCACCTCACCCTGTCATTCACTTTATTTGCATCCAATTTTTCCAACACTTAGTTGTTAAGTGTATTTAGTTGATTTGGAAATACAAGTGGTTGAGACTTGAGTCTTGTTATGTGGTTAATTTTCTAGAACAGTGAGTGGTCAAAATGTATCTTACAACATATATGTATGTTGAAATTATGGAATACATGTATGAAAAATTATTCTTAAAGACTAAGTTATATTGTCTTTGTTTTTCTCCATGACCAATATACAAAGGCTAAAATTATAGCCAACACAAAATTCATTTTGCTACCTTCAACAACAAACTACTCCAAGAGAGAATGAATAATTCAAAAATCCACAAAACAGTTGCATTTCCTTTGTAATTTTTTTCCAAGGTCAATTTTTCAACTTCAAGCAATATTACTATAGAACAAGAAGAAGATAAACCTACCTGTACTATCTCCTCGTAGGAAAATGCAGGATCATTTTTCATTTTCTTCTCTAGGAAATTTATCACTTCTTGATCTTTCAATCCAACATTTGTTGCCTAAAATATAGCATGTTTCTTGATATCACAGTTAAATAAACAAAAAACTATAAGAAACAACTAAGACAAAATTAAAAAGTCCTATGGAATCAACTTTGCCTTTGTGAAGCTAGAAAAAGCACTACACAAGTGTGAGTTGCAAAACATATTCAGTTCACATTTAATCTATGCGAGAATTAATCTACGCAAAGGGTCACTACCTTGTACAAACGAAGAGGGTGGTGAAGAAGCCTCGGTGAACCTACACACCTATGTGAACTGATGGCTGAAGGTAGACAAAGTGACTCTGATGCTTAAGTCAAATCGCAAGTTAGAGAGAAGTGTAGAGTGAATAGGCTCATACTCAATGCCTTGCTTGGTACGCAAGGCCTTTATTTATAGTGGTAGGGAGATGTGTCCCACTAGAATCCAAACTCTAGGGTGATTGGTTCAATCCCGTCACCAGATCATAGAAGTTCGGGGTAGAGTTAGATTAGGACTTTTGGTCCTCGGTCTTCTTTGCTAGCCCCTGGTTACTCAGAGTAGCATTTTGTTTGGACTCTAACTCCTTAGTGCCTTATTCCTAGATCCTAAATATTTGGAGTGGTATTTGATTAGGACTCGAGATCCTTGATTGATCCCTCATTGAGTAGGACTCATCTTTAGTTGCCTTGGGGGCCAATGGTGGACAAGGAAGTCTTGCCCAAGCCCCCTTGGCTTTGCCGAGTGGTGAGGTCAAGCATCTTGGCTTTTATGAGTGGTGAGAGCCAAAACCTCACGGCATAAGGCCTTGCCTCTTTCCCTTTGTCGAGTGGTAAAAGGCAGCCTCTTGCCGAGTGGCCTGAGGGAACTTCTCTCTTGCTCCTTGGCGAACGATGAGAAGCAGCCCTCTGCCGAGTGGTGTGAGGTTGCCTTTTCCAAGTGGCATGAGGTCAAACTACTTCAAATACAAGTGGGCATGAGCCACTATTTCACTTTGCTTAGTGGCATGACCCACCTTTTGCACATGCCGACTAGAAAGTGCTCCTTGACGACTGGCATGTGCTTCTATCTTGGGTATTACTTTATGTCTTACAATTCCTCCCCCCTCCACAAATACCTCAATTAACTCATTTTTATTAATTGAGGTATGTGTTTGAAGATTAGATTTCTCCTGAGCCTAACTCATCGGCAATGAGCTTATTTTTTTTAGAGGACTAGGGCTTTGGTTGCATAAGTAGCTTGTGCCTTTATATATACTACCTCCTTGCTTCATTTTTTATATTGCTTTAAAGTTTGGCTAGAAAGAAGAAATGAGAGATTTTATCAAAATTTCTTCGTTTCTTTTGCAATTTCTTTCTCTAATTCTTGTTTTCCTCAGCTATGGCTGCAATTCCACCAAAGCCTCCTGATATTAAGAGAAATTTTGCTTCTTTTTTTTACAAGATATGCGAGTACTTCAAAAGCAGATGAAGTTGGGTCTAGTTGTAGAAATGATGGTTCATCTTTTGTGGGTCAATCTAGTCTTGGAATTCCTTCTGTTATGCCTTCTTTGTTTAATCAAATCTCTTCATTTGGTCAAATACCCATAATAATTCCATCGTTAACTCAAACTCCTTCGGCTTCTCAAGTCCCTTCGAATGTTAGTTTTTCGTCGATTCCTCATTCTTCATCGATTGATAAAGGTAAAGTTCCTGAATCCTCTGTTCCATCTATTGCTTTTCCTGACAATATGAATCCTATACTGGCATTTGCAGCTATTTCAAAACTTGCGAAGAGGGTTGTTTATAATAAAGGTGAACCAGGTATCTACTGGACTCCTTTTAAAACTCTGGAACTATTGAAACAATTTCATCAAACTCTGATAGGAAAGTGTGCATATGGACGACCTTCATTGGGTGTGATAAAGGAATTCATTAATTCTAGATGGTTGCCCAAAGGGGATTTTACTGTTGGAGTGTTAGATCCAAGGCATGTGTTGATTCGTTTCTCATTGTATAAAGATTATTTGAAGACCTGGTTAAAGGATGTAACATATATTAAGGGTTACCTATTTCATTTTTTCAAATGGTTCCCAGATTTCCATCCAGGTACAGAGCCTCCAATCGTTCCTGTTTGGATCTCTTTACCAAGATTGCCCATTCACCTCTTTAATGCAGAGAGCCTTAGGGACATTTTGAGTCCCATTGGTAAAGTATTGGTTATAGATAATCCTACGTTACAGCTATCCAGGCCTAGTGTTGCTAGGGCGTGTGTAAAAGTTAAACTTCTGGCTGAAAATCCCTCCAAATTTTGGCAGAATTTTAGGGGTTCAAGTGGTAGATGGCAGAAAATTATTTATGAAAAATGAGTGAAGTATTGTAAAAAAGTGTTTAAAGTAAGGGCATGGAGATCTAGAGTGTAGAAGAATGCTTATGGGAAAGGGGATAAAGATTTTGGTAAGGAAAGTGATGGTGTAAAGAGAAAACAGTATGTTGTTCCAATGGTTCAAAAGGAGTTGAGTGGTGGCAATAATAATAGGGAAAGGCAAGTAGTAAAAGGGAAAGGTGTGGCTGCTAAGGAAAATTGAAGTTTAAGGGGAAGTACTCCTGTGCAAATTGATGGGAATATATTTAATTTGCTTAGAGGAGATCATTCTGGTAAGGATGATTATGCTCAGGATAAGCAGGGGAGTGGTAAATATGATTATATTGTGTCTAGTTTTATGGATGATAGAGTGTTGAAGGAGGTAGAGCAAGTTAATTTAAATAATACTTTGACTGCTCAAGGTAATGCTATTTTGGGGCAGTCTGTTGCTGGTTCATTTCATGGAAATGGTGAAGGAGTGGAAATTTTATCTAACTTTGCAGATGGTCTAGGTAATATTTCTTTGGGTCAAAATGTTTTGACTGATTCTCTAGTGCAAGTGGATCAGGTTACTCCTGTTTCTGAAATTGCTCAGAGTGTAGCTGTGTTGAATTCTGGGGAGGCGGGATTTCAGAGGTTGACTGATCAAGAGGACTACCAGCATGTGAATCAGATGGTAATTCCTGAAGTATCTGGTACTCAAATTGGATTGGAAACAAGTGAGGGGAATGTGAGGGTTGGGAAAGAAAATTTTGAAATCTGCCTTTCGAATAAGCAAGTTTCTCAATCTGACAGATCTGTTTTTTATGTTGAGCATTTTTCTATTTTGAGAGGGTTTTCTTTGGCTTTGGATGATGAGCGTGGTATGGTGAGAAATAGAGAACCTCTTGATAAAGGTTACTTTTTAGACTCTAGTACTATGTTACGTAGCAAAGAGTTGATGTGTAGAGTTGTAGCTGATAATGAAGGTTCTGAGGACTCTGATGATGTGTCTTTAGAATTCTCATCTGCCGAGGTGGAAAATAGACTGAGGTCAAGAGAGGAGGATTTGCCTATGCATGTTTAATTTCTTATTATGGATAGGAATGGACTTCCAGGTCCATAAGAGGAAGAGTAAATGGATTGCTAAAAATTGCCATTCTCTATTTTTGGTTCTTCTGGGGCCTTATTATTTATGGGCTTTATTTTCTTTTGAAGATTACCGAAAGGGTCTTGAAATTCTTGTGTCAATATCGATGGTTCCTTCTCTTTTAGAGAATGTGTTATTTGTCGTAAGGTGGGTGGGTTTCTTCTTTTCATGAGTAACTTTTTGGTTTGGAACATGAGGGGTATTGGCAAGGCTGTTAAGAGGAGAAGGCTAAAGAAGATGATTCGTATTCATGGTGTTTCTTTGGTGGCTATTCTTGAGCCAAAGGTGGGGAGTGAAAGGATTCGAAATTTTGCTTTGAGTGTGAGTATGTCTCATTCTGTTGTAAATATCTTGGCAGAAAAAAACATCTGGATATTATGGGATGATAGAGTGGAGATTAAAGTTTTGTATGAGCAATCCCAAGTTCTTACAGTAAAGGTTTCTTATTTAGGTTCAAAGGTGATACTTATTTCTATTGTCTATACCTGTTGTGATAGTGTGTTGAGGCCTCTTTGGGATCATTTGGTTCAGCTGGCTGTTCTTTCTGATATGCCCTGGATGGTTGTGGGCGATTTAATGTTGTGTTCAGTCCTGAAGAGAGGTTGGGTGGTGCATATCCTACTGCTACTTCTATAGGAGATCTTAATGATTTTCTTATGAATGCTGGTTTAATGGATGGAGGGTTTATGGGAAGCAGATTTACCTGGTGTAACAATTACCAAGGTAGTGCTAGAATACAACAGAGGATAGATAGGGCTTTTCTAAACTCTGCTTGGGTGAGGTGATTGGGAGAACTGAGATCATGCACTTAGCTAGGGGGCATTATGATCACTCCCCTTTGTTAATTAAAATCCTAAAGGAGGGTCAACAGAGAATCTCCTATTTTAAGTTTCAAAATATGTAGTTGGAGGATAAGAGATTTCTGCCTTTAATTGCTTCTAAAAGGGGGAGGGGGGGTTCTTATTCTAACCACCCCATTGAAAATATTTTTCTTAAGCTGAAGTATTTGAAGCATCATTTAAAGATTTTGGAATGTGGAGGTTTTTGATAATATTTTTCAAAATATTAAGAAGAAGGAGGTTGAGCTTTCTAGTGCTGAGATGATGGTTGAACAGTCTGCTTCCACTGAAAATGTTCAAAAATTGGAAGAGATTCAAAGTGAGCTAGATTCAATACTCAGACTTGAGGAGATTTATTGGCGGCAAAAAACTAATTTGAGGTGGGCAGTTGAAGGAGAAAGGAATACAAAATTTTACCATGCTCTAGCTAAAGGAAAATATGCGAGGAATAGAGTATGTAGGATTCAAAATGGTGTTGGTTTGTGGGTTCATTCTGATGATAAGATTGGTTTGGTAGTAGAGGAGTTTTATTCTATCTTGTATAGCTCTGAGCCTCATCAGTTGGATGATGACTTATTTTCTGTCATTCCTAAACTGGTGACTGATGATCAGAATGTTGCTCTTCTAAAAGTTGCATCTGCAGAGGAGGTGAAGCAAGTTGTTTTTTCTATGTCGAAGTATAGTGCTCCGGGGGCTGATGGTCTTTCTGGTGGTTTTTTTCAGGGAGCATGGGATGTTATTGGGGATGAATTAGTAGGGGCAGTCAATTTTTTCTGAGAGGAGGAAATGTGTCCAGATCAGTCAATGCTACATTACTTACACTAATTCCTAAGAAAGTGAATCCTTCTTCTTTTTCTGAGTTTAATCCTATAAGTTTGTGTAATTTCTTGTACAAAATTTTCACCAAACTACTGACTTCCAGGCTTTCTGTCTTTTTGCCTGAGTTGATTTCCCCTGAACAACATGGATTTGTAAAGGGTCAGAATAGTGTTGAATGTGTGTCTTTGGCTCAGTTAATGGTGGGGGATTTGAACAGAAGAGTTGAGGCAGGTAACATCATGCTTAAATTGGATATGATGAAGGCATACGATAGACTTGAGTGGGATTTTCTGCTCAAGGTCTTGGATAGTTTTGGCTTTTCCCCTCTTTTTGTCCAGATTATTTCAAATTGTTTGGAGAATCAGTTTTTTTTCTGTGAATATGAATGGGGTGAGAAGAAGTTTTTTTCATTCATCCAGGGGATTAAGGCAGGAAGATCCTCTATCTCCTTGCCTTTTTATCCTTGCTGAGGACGTGCTGAGTAAGGGGCTAAAAGAAATTTTTTCTAAAAACTGGTTAAGCATTTTCATCTGGGGAGAGGAGCCTTACTAATTAGTCACTTCTTTTTGCTAATGATACACTAATATTTTTAAGAGGAGATAAGAGGTCTTTAAAAAATTTAATGGAATTGTTTAGGAGATATGAAGGAAATTTTGGAAAGAGGGTTAGTCTGACTAAGAGTTCTTTATTCTTTTCTAAATACATTTTAGCTGAAAGGAGGCATGTGTTGTCGGGTCTAGCAGGGAAGGATGAGGGTTTGTTATATTGAAGGGATTCTTGCTCAGTTCGGGCAGAGGTTAGAAAGGTGGTATACTAGACTTCTGTCTAACATGGGGAGAGTTGTTATGGTTCATTATGTTCTTTGTGTTGTTCCTATGCACTTGCTGGCCTGTATGAATTTGCCTAGGACCATTATTTCTACGCTTAATTCTCTAATGGCTAACTTTATATGGTCAAACAAGCTGGATATGAGGCATAGGCACTAGGTGGCTTGGGGGAAGATCACACTGCCTAAAAAGGAGGGAGGTTTGGGTTTGAGGAAGTTTGAAGAGGTGCAGTCATCTTTTCGAATTAAGCAGGTCTGGAATTTGATTAAAGGTACTTCTTTGTGGGCCAAAGTTTTTGATTCCAAGTTTTTAAAGGGGAATAGATTGTTAAGATGTTTGGGACGGTCTCATAATTCTTGCTTTGAGCTTTTAAGGTCATATTTTGAAAGTGTAGTAAATTCATCAAAGTTGTTGGTGGGTAATGGTTTAACGATTAATTTCTTTTGTGATAATTGGATTGGAAATGGTGCTTTGTTGAGTAAAATGGAGATTATGCCTCAAGTGTTTACTAAAGTTTCTGATCTATTTGAGTCCTCTATTTGGCGGTTAAATGGAGAGGATTTATGTTTAACTACTGGTTTGAGGGATGTGGTCCTGAGTTCTAATCTTTCTCTAACATATTTTGAGGATAAATTAATCTGGCAAGGTACTTCTACTAATGAGTTTTTAGTTAAGTCAGCTTGGCAGCTAATCAGATGCCAGGGTTTGCATGATGAAGTTGTTGATCTTATTTGGAAGGTAAAGATGCTCCTAGTGCCCAGCTTGTTGGTTGGAAATTGTTAAAGAGGGCTTTACTCCTTGATTAGAATTTTATGAGGATTGATGTCTCAGTTGTTAGCAGATGTGTTTTGTGTTATGTGAACATTGAGACTCCAGAACATCTTTTTGTAGACTGCAATTATGCTAGAGTAGTCTGGACTACATTTGCTACAATGTGTGGATTTCAGGTTATTCATGGTCAAAAGCCTTTAGAGACATTCCAAAGACTATGCAGGGTTTTTTGAAGGAGTTCTTTGAGTCATCTTTTGATTCAAAGTCTATATTTGATCTTTTTTTGGCAAATTTGGAAAGAACGTTGTAGAGGTTGGTTAGGGAAGGGAAATTGTATTCTTAATCCCTCTTTGTTAGAGTCTGTAGTATTTTACGTTATCAAGGGAAGAGTTTTAAACCCAAGGCTAAAGATGATGATGCTGGAAGAGAATTTTTGTATTTTTTACAGATTGATGCAACTTACAATGTTGATTGGAAGGGTTTCTGGGTTAAGTGGGATAATCCTCCTTGTGGACTTTTGAAGTTAAATATAGATGGGACTTCAATGTGTAATTCTAGTGTGGCGGGGGGTGGAGTTGGTGTGAGGAATGAATGGGGGAGAGTGGTCTTGGTTGCATCCTATTTTTATGGAGAGGAATGAAATATGTTTGCTGAATTTTGTGCTTTACATTATGAGCTTCAGCTGGTTATGCAATATGGTTTATCATGTTATGAGTTTGAGATTGAATGTGATTCTCAAATTTTGATAAAAGTTGTCTTGGGTGATTGTGACTACCCTTGGCAGTATTTGGGTATATTGAGAAAGATTAAAGTGCTTTAAAATAGCTTGCAGTTCTAATTAACTCATATATTTCGTGAAGCAAACTCGGTGTCTAATAGACTTGCTGATCAAGCAGTGTTGTCTAGGCGATCTGTTGATTACTCTGTGGATTTGCGTTTGCCTTGTGAGGTTGCTGCTGCTTTGGGGAATGATCAAAAAGTTTTACTTGTGTTAAGAAAAAATTTGTGGTGTTTGATAATAAGGGCTAATTGAGTTTTGGTGATGGATTTTCTTGAGGACTGCTGCGATGGAGGGTTTGTTGAAACTTTTGAGGACTGTTGTGTTGGTGCTGCTGTGATGGTGGGTTTGTTGAAGATGTTTGAGGACTGTTGTGATGGTGGGTATACTACCAGTGAAAGCTACTACAAATTTTGGTGTTTTGATTTTTCTTGTTTGTAATGCTTAAGGCAATTGTTTGTTTTGAAGAATTCAAGCCAAGTTGTTGCTTATCCTTTTTGCTTCTTGTAAATTTTTTTGTTTTTTCATAAAATTTTTCTTTCCTTGAAAAGAAAAAGAAGAAATGTGAAGCATTCATTGTTACTTTGCTCAAATTGTACGAGGGTCTAACTTACTTTGCTCATTAGCTAGTCAAGTGATAAAAGTTGCTCGAGAGTCGAGCAGAGTCTGATATGGTTAGGGCAGGCATTCTTGAGAAGCAACTTATCAGAGAGGATTTTGTCTTCTTGAAGAATAAGGTTACTGAGGTAGAGACTAGAGCTGGAGAGCTTCAAGAGGAACTTGTTAAGGCTAAGAGGGAAAATGATGAGCAAGTAAAAAATGTTTCGTATAATCATTACTCGGGGATCTTTGGACATAGTCAAGAAGAAAATATGCAGGAGAGAAGAACAAGTCATTTGGAGA